TAGAGGTTGAAGAGCAGGGGAGCTAGAATACACTCCTGTTTTGCCCCTCTGAGGATTGGGAACTCAGTGATCCAGAGGTTGCCCACTCTTCTTTTAGCTCATTATTTTAGCTGCTAGATTGCGATGGAGTTCTCATAGCAAAACCAGTAGCCACTTATCGATGTATTAACCAAAGTCAAAAGCAGCTTTCAAGTTCACAAAAGCCACAAACAGATGTTTGGTAAGGCTCCTCGTGCATTTTTAGGGCAAGATGGTATAAGATCAGGCAGTGATCAATTGTATTTTGCCCTTTTCTGAAGCCTGCAGTTCTATGATTTATGTTGCTCTGGACAGATGATTTGGTTGGAGGCTTCCCAGTCCTCCTGCTTACCTAAGAGATATTTGCTGTACAGTTTGGAGACTATATCCAGCAAGCTAATTGGGTGATCATTGCTGGCAACTCGTTTATCCCCATTTTTATATAATGGGACCACAATGCTGCATTTCCACCCTAAGAGAGGACCCCTGTTGTGTTGATCTGGGTGAATAGTTTGGCCAAAAATTGGGGCTCACCAGTCAGGGAAGTATTTGAATAGTTCTGGGGGGGATCATGTCCTTTCTTGGGGCCTTACCAAAAGAAATAGAGGAGATCAAACCTATATATACATGCATGCATGCATGCATATGTACCGTATGTATGTATATATAGGTTGTATGTATGTGTGTATATGTAATAAACGAGTTAACAGGGTATTTGTATACCTTGGCTTTTTCTCCAATGGGGACCCAACATGGCTGACATCATTTTCCTGTCCTCCATTTTATCTCCACTACAAACCTGTGAAGTAGGTTAGGCTGAGGGCGTGTGACTGACCCAAGGCCACCCAGCAAGCTTCCTTGGCAGAGCTGAGATTTAAACCTGGGTCACTGAGATCCTAGTCCAGCACTCTAACTACTATTCCAAACTGGGTGTGGTGACATGTCAGGGTGAAATGAATGACTTCCGTTGGCAGAGCTGGAGTGGAACAGACAGGAGAAGGTTTGAGTGAGGGGAATATAGATAGGAGTACCCTTAAAGGGTAAGTGGGACACCACATTCCCACTTTTGAAGAAAGTAGTCCTCCCACATCTGAAAGTACTTTTGCAATGAAGAAAATGAGCATGAAATAATGGAGGTGAGGTAAATTGTTGATTTTTTCCCACCTTTTAATTGATTCCCAGATGTAGCTTGCTTCATTTATTCTGTCTGTTAGATTAATGAAGAGGTGGTATTATTGTGTTTTTGGGTTTTTTTGTTATTTGCTTTTGTTTGGCATTATTATTTTATCTAATCTGCTGCCCAATCTTATACATTTTGGAAGCTTTGTAACAAATGAATTAATATTTGCTCTAATTTCTCTAGATAAATTTTAATTCCACAAACACAATAAGTTTAAATGTATTCTGTTTCAAACAGAGCTGTGGCATGAACATGAAAGCATCTTATACAGTTTGGCTTTTAATAAGGCAGACATCCATAAAGCTGACTAAAGGAAATAATTGCTCCTTTGTTATTTTATTAAATCATGTAAATATTTTAACTTCTTATGGCTCCGGTCACATGGGCAGGAAAATGCGGGGGGGAAGCGTAGCTGTTAGCCCCGGGGCAAAATAATGTGCGGTTGCGCGAGCAGACGTCTCCTGGAGGTCCCGGAAAAGTCCCGTGTATAGGGGGGAGGTGCTGATCACACGACCATGCGGCAAAGAAGCGGCTGAAACGGACTACATGTCCCAGAAGGGCACTCGGTGGGAGGAGAAGGGAGAAAGGGACCTGGCCAAGGGGTGGGGAAGAGGGAGCTTGCGTCCTGACAATGAAACCGAAAGGCAGGTCCCCCGGAGGGGGGGGTCGCCGCTCTGGGCGACTCTGAGCTGCCTTCTGTGTGGCTCCTGGGGATGGTTGGACAAGCAGTCGCCTCTTCGCCTTCCTCCAGGGCAAACGGTTTTTTCCCCTGTACACTGAAGTATGCGCATGCTCCGTTGGGTGCTTGTGCGCATCCATGGAGACTTGGGGGAGTTTTTTACGAGGGGACATGGGCGGGCGCCGGATGCCAGAAACGCGATCAGACGCCCGCCCTTGCCCCGCGGTTTCCGGAAACTAGTACCTCCAAGGTACTAGTTTTTTGCTGCGTGTATTCGCCAGGAAGCCTCGGGTGACCCACGGAGCGCTATGCTTCCCAGATGTGCCGGTGAGATCGCGCCCGGAAAATCCGCCTATCTTCCGTCTCTGTAGCGTGGCTAATGTTCCGTGTGACCGCAGCCTATATAAACCAAATACTTTTTACAATATACATAAAAGCTTAATATCAGGTTTGAAAAATATGCTTGCTTTCTCCAGGTACTGACGCCATCATTCACTTCAGCTGCAGGTGCAAATAATTGTGTTTCTTGTGACCAAATTAAGGAAATTATGAGTTGTTCTGTATCATCACAAGTCCTACCAGGTTGCTGTGGGGGTAAGTGAATTTGAAAAAAATCCTCTTTGCTTCTGTTATTTTTGGCCTCCTTTTGCTCCAGATAAGACTGTTAACTCCATGAGCAGGTATGCTTCTGAACAATGCAGTGCTTAGTAGAAGCTAGCATGGATTTGTCAAGAACAAATCCTGCCAGACTAATTTTATTTGTCTGTATGTTTGTTTGTGTGTTTTAATTGGGTTACTAGCCAGGTGGATTTGTTAATCAAATTGCTGGTCAGGTGGATTCCGTTCTGGTTAGAGAGCCATACTTATTTATTTATTTATTTGATTGATTGATTTTTATCCCACCCTTCCGGCCTCAGGGCAGTTTACAATAGAATAAAAATTCTCATAATCCATAAAAGACAATTAATTACATTAATACAATTCCTGATAAATAATACAGTAGCATAAAACAATATTAAAATCAGACAATATTCCAGTTTTTACTTTAGCAATTCCAGTTTTTACTTTAGTTCTATTGGTCCGCTTCAGTTGGAGGGGACTAGGACAGGCAATAGTCACAGGGACCAGCAGCTCAGGGCTTCCACCATGGTTGTCAATTGTTATTACTAGCGCTACCGATAGTTGTATTTGTAGTGGTGGTGGTGGCAGCGCCGCCAAAGGCCTGGCGGAAGAGCTCCGTTTTGCAGGCCCTGCAGAACTGTAAAAGGTCCCGCAGGGCCCTGGTCTTCTCTGGGAGCTCATTCCACCAGAGTGGAACCGCCACCGAGAAACCCCTGGCCCTAGTTGTTGCCAACCTGGCCTCCTTAAGACTCGGGAGGGCCAGTCAGTTCTGGGTTCCTGAACGCAGTGCTCTCCGGGGCATATAAGGGGAAAGGCAGTCCCTCAGGTATGCAGGTCCCTGGCCATAAAGGGCTTTAAAGATAAGAACCAGCACCTTGAAGCAAATCTGGTATGCTATAGGCAGCCAGTGCAACTTAAAGCACTTAAAGAGAAGTCATGAAAAGGATTCTATTTCTGGCACTGCACTTTAAGAAAGATGTAGGTAAACTAAAATGCTTTCTAAAGAGGACAACAAAGATGGTTGAGGTTCTAAAAAACAAATCTCCTAGGAAGTATTGAAGAAACTGGTATGTTAAGTGTAGTGAAGAGAAGAATCAAGAGAAATTATTGTGCTCTTCAAATACCTGAAAGAATGTCACTGGTGGACCTCCTGATGGCACTGGTATTTCTGGCCACTGTGTGATACAGAGTGTTGGACTGGATGGGCCTTTGGCCTGATCCAACATTGGCGTCTCTTATGTTCTTATGTTCTTATAGAAGAGGGCAAGGATTTGTTCTATGCAGCTCTAGAGGGTGAGCCTAGAGCTAATAGGATCGTGCTGACTCTGGCCGGTCGCCACAAATACAGTATACTAAGCTAGGTGCAAAGTCCAAACCAAGCCAAGAAACAGTACCAGGGGTCGGAATGCTGGGAGATCAATCAGAGTTCTCAGGAGTGATGAATGGAGGCTGGCAGACGGAACAAGGTCCAAGATTGCACGGTTGCATCTGCACCGAGGCAGGTGAGCATGGCTGCTTATAACCGGAGCCTCCCTTCCCTGGGAGGCAACCTGCAAAGACTCACAGCCCCTAATGTTGCCTTTGCAACAGCCGAAGTCTGGCACTCCTCCTTCTCTCCTGCACCTCCAGATGCTGGCGTGCCCTGCCTCTGGGACATTCAGGTGAGCTGGGGGGGGGACTCTGGCCTCGAGGTGTCTCCAACTGGGGGTGCTGGGCCAGGCTCTTCCTCCGACTGCACCTCAGGCTCTTCGCCTTGATGCACCTCATGTGCAGATGCTGGAGCCTCTTCTCCCTCAAGTGCTGGCAAAGGTTCCTCTTCTGGGCTGACTCCGGAGGAGGCTGGGTTGCTCCGTGCCTCTTCCTCATCTGAGGAATAGTCAGCCTCAGCTCAGCCAGGACCCATGACAAGGATTAAGTTACAGGATGGGCGATTTAATTAATTGATTTGTTTGTTTGTTTTCATATTTATAGCTTGCCTATCCCGCAAGTGGCCTCAGCGTAGGTAACATCATATCAAACCATACAATAAATTTTAAACACAATAATAAACACTAAACCCGGTGGTTATAGCTCAGAACGAAAATCAACTGGCTGCAAGAGATTCCATGGCCCGTTGGTACTGATGAATAATGGCCGGTTATCAGTGGGTGGGTGACAACAACCTCAGGCAGGCCATACATGGACTTCCGCTGCCTCAGCTGAAGGCGTGCTGGAATAGCTCCATCTTGCAGGCCCTGCAGAATTGAAGAAGATCCCACAGGGCCCTGATCTCAATAGGGAGCATGTTCCACCAGGCAGGGGCCAAAGCCCTGGCCCTGGTCAAGGCAAGATGGGCATCCTTCGGGCCAGGACCACCAGGAGATGTTGATCCATAGAGTGTAACGCTCTTCGAGGCATATACAGGAAGAGGCGGTCCCTCAGACATGTTGGTCCCAGGCCGTGTAAGGCTTTGAAGGTTATTACCGACAACTTGAAGTGAATCCAGAACTCAACCGGTAACCAATGCAGTTAGCGGAGCACATGCTGAACGTGAGCCCGCAGAGGCATCAACGTCAGTAGGTGCACCGCCGTATTTTGCACTAGCTGTAATTTCCAGGTCAGCCTCAAGGGTAAACCTGTGTAGAGCGAATTGCAGTAATGAAGCCTGGAAGTGACCATTGCATGGGTCACCATAGCTAATGTGAGAAAGTTCCTAATGGTAAGAATAGTTTGACTATGAAACCAGTTTCCTGGGGTGAGATAGAGGATGGACTCTCTCTCGTTTGGAATCTTCAGACAGAGGATGGACAGCCATATGTTGTGAATGCCCTAGCTTTAGATTTCCTGCATGGAGTGGGGATTGGCCTAGATAGGCCTACAAAGACCTCTTTCAGTTCTATGATTTTATGTTGTGATTGTATTTTCTTACTGAAGGTCCAAACTTCTATGAATGGAACAAAGCACATGGCAGGCATCTTCATTAATCCCCCTTTCCCTCTAAAAAGTTTGAAAATCCTTGAGAATAACATGGGACGTTATACTGAGGACTGCAGTGGGAAGGATTAATTGGTAGAAATCAACCGCACAAAGTCCTATCTTGTCCCCTGTGCTCTTTAATATCTACATGAAACTGCTGGGTGAAGTCATCTAGAAAGGTGGACTGGGTTATAACTAAGGTTGCCAACCTCCAGGTGGTGGCTAGAGATCTCCTGGGATTAGAAAAAATCTCCAGACAACAGAGATCACCTGAAGAAAATGGTCGATTGAAGGTGGATTCTATGGCATTATACCCCATTGAAGTCCCTCCTCTCCTGAAACCCTACCTGTCTCAGCCTTCACCTCCAAAATCTTCAGGTATTTCCCAACCTGGAGCTGCCAACCCTAGTTGATATTAATCATGGGATAACGCTCAGCTCTATCTCACACTCTCAGATGATACCAAAGAAGCTATAGAAACCCTGAACCATTAGCTAGAGGGAGTTTTGGGGCGGATGCAGGCTAAAAAAATAAAGCTTAATCCCAGCAAGACAGATGGGGTACTGGTGAACAGAAGGTGAACCCCCTCTTCCACAGCTACTTACTTAAATATATTGCTTTAATGGCCAACTGGCCACCAGCAACATCACACTGAAACAACCCTATATTATCCTCTTTTGCATTTAATTACCACCAACAAAAATTTTGCCACTAATATAGCGATCCTATTATCTATATCTGATAGTGACATCTGACTTAGACTTTGTGAAGAGAGATAAAATTCATCAGATAAAAACTGCCATAAATATTTCTTCCTCAAATCCTCCCCAAAACAGCAGAACAGCAAAATATATTCCAAAGTCTCAATATGACCATCACATTTTCTATCTGCATAATGACCCTCAGTAAACATTGATAGAAAGGTGTTTAGCCTAGCCAGCATGGCTCTTTTTGTAGAAAAAGCCCAGCAGGCACTCGTTAGCATAATAGGCCACACCCAACAGCAGGACCTCATTAGCATATTGGGCCACCCCCCTGACAGCACAGCTCATTAGCACATTAGGCCGCCCCCCCATGTTACCAGAAGTGTGGTTATCTAGCCACACCCACCTTTTGCTTGTTATTCTGTTTACCTTGTTTGTTGTCAAAACCCAGGGTCTTTTTTTGTAGCAGGAACTCCTTTGCATATTAGGCCACACACCCCTAATGTAGCCAATCCTAATGAGTTTCTGCTGTTGGGTATGGCCTATTATGCTAATGAGTTCCTCCTGGACGTGACCAACTTGGGAGCCAGACGGAACGCCGTTCCTGTGCGTTCCTGCCCCAAAATAGCCCTGCTAGCCAGCATAGATGTCCTCTTATACTGTGGCACTGTTAAGTTATAAACATATTGTGGAACAAAATCTAAGGGGATTAGGCCATGAGTGCTCTCTTCTATGTACTTCTAAAATCCAGGGATATCACCGCTAACTTGATTTCTTTAATCTCATATGCTTTGTTTAGGTTGAAGCCCAACAACTTAAACTTTTTTTCAATGACCTTTTCCCAAGAGTTCAGTAGCGGATTTTTTCTAATAAGACTTAGGAGCCCCTCGTTAGACATGAGCATGTTACCAATTAACAAAAATTATCTTTGCCACGCTAAAGCTTCCGGAAATTTATGATTTAATTCCGCTCTGAGGGCTACCCCAGAGACACAATTTGGCATGCCTGATATACTATGGAGAAATTGCATTAAAGGTTGGTCAATTGCTTCATCTACCGCATCAATCAAAACCTGAATACCATATAATATCTGGGGAATTACTTTATCATTAAATGCGTTCATTGCTCCAGGTATAAAATTCCCACCCCAGGTATGAAAAAAGTGAATTAGAGCATTACTGGATACTTTTGCTTTATGTTTAATGTTTTTCAGATGTAATTTCCAGTTTAACTTTGTTTGAAATATAATACCCAGATAATTAAATTGTCTAACTTGGTCAGTTTTCTTTCTGTTAATTTGCCATTTATATTCAGGAATATTTCTTGCTTTAGAAAAGACCATGATTTTAGATTTCTGGGTGTTTATAAATAATCCCTCATTTAGACAACATTCAGAGAATGCTTAAGTAATTTACGAAGGCCTACTGGGGAGCAAGAAAGGAGCAGGGTATCATCTGCATATAGCATTAATGGTACTTTGTGATTTGCTAGAGTAGGGCATGCGACAAGTAAGGACCTAAAAAGATAGCTAGATCATTTATATATAGATCAAAAAAAGAGGGGGCAATAAATAACCTTGCCTAATCCCCCTTATTTTGAGGGATTTCTTGTGTTAGCTGTCCTAAAATTCCCATTCAAACTTGGGCCAAGATATTAGAAATAATTGTTAGATTAGCCATAATATCCTTCTGTATACTGAGGTTGGCATGAAGCCAGTTTGGTGTAGTGGTTAAGAGTGGCGGACTCTAATCTGGAGAACCGGATTTGATTCCTCATGCCTCCACATGCAGCTGCTGGGTGACCTTGGGTCAGTCACAGTTTTCTCAGAGCTGTTCTCTCAAGAGCAGCTCTCTCAGAGCTCTCTCCGCTCCACCTACCTCACAGGATGTCTGTTGTGGGGAGGGGGAGGGAAAGGAGATTGTAAACTACTCTGAGTAAAGGGCAACTTATAAATCCAATCTCTTCTTCTCTCTTCTTCTTCTTTACAAAAGTTGGCTTGGCTCACCACATTGAATTGTCCTTAAAAAATTCAGCTGGTCATAAGTCTGGACCCAGAGCCTTACGAAGTTTTACTCCTTTAATTAAACTTGATATTTCTGTAGTAGTAACTAGAGGCCACTCCAGGGCCAGTATATCTGGTACCTTTAAATTAACAATGGGGGTGTGTGTGTGTCAAAAATTGATGAAAATGTTGTTCCCACATGGAAGGAGCATACATACATACATAGACTTTATTGCATTAGCTCAGAGGTGTCGAACTCATTTGTTGTGAGGGCCGGATCTGACATAAATGAGACCTTTTTGGGCCGGGCCATGTGTGTCATAAAATGTAATGCCAGGTAGCAGAGATATAAACTTTATAAAGGACACAAACACAAATGGGTTTTTTTTAACTTAAAATAAAAACATACTTAAAACATTAGCACTCCTGCAATATTTTGTTTATTTAACTGTCTGATAACTGACACCTCTTGCTCTGAATTATTACATCAAAATGTCTGTGCTGTTGCGATCTTGAGTATGCTGTTCAGGTGTGTATCTGTAAGCTGCAAACCTACAATGATGCAACAGCAGCAGAACTGGAAGAAGAAGCAGAAGACAGCCAATTCCACTACGTAGAAGGTAGAAGCCTTCCCGGGAGCCGATCCGGCCCCTGGGTCTCATGTTTGATACCCCGGCATTAGCTCATAGCCTTACAAAATAACACCAAAAATAACAAAAACAATGTCAAGACTATAATACAGCAATCACAATAACAATTAAAACTCTTAATATCCATTACAGTTTCACAAACAACTTTTAAAATCGTATCAGCAGCAACAATTTAAGTTAAAAACAGTAACAATTCAGTCAGTCAGTCAACATAATACATAATACATAAATGTATCCATCGGCCACATTAACAGTAGATGATTTTGGCAAGGCCTTTATCACCCATGCAACAAACTTTGCCATTTGCAGAGTTACCCATTTATTTTTGTTGGCAAACAGTATAATTAATCTGTCATTGTCCGCTCTCCCTGCATATCGTAATAAAATATTCCCAAAATATCTTTCGCATTCTAATGCAAATCTTGGGATGTGGAAGACCACTGGGCCTACATCCTCAATAGGCTTGCTGGTTGCAAGTACAGACATATTCGTTAAATGGGATCCTGTTGTAATGGCGCCTTAGCATCGCCAATTGTAAAGTATCATGGAAGGAGCAGGGGTCATTTCCTGCAGGAGCGCACAGGAGCGGAGCTCCGGCAGTAAAGAGCCCATGCAACAAGCCCCACCCCCTGCTCCCAGCAGCCCTCCGTCAGAGCATGAAGCAGCCAGGTAAGTTGCAGAGCCCCTAAGCCAGAGACTAGCTGGCCTAGTGAGAGAGCCGGCCCTGTTCATATGTAATGTCATTTGTTGCATGCAGCAAGAACTCACTCAAATCCATAATGGACTTTGTGAACTTGAGCTTTTTGGACCATTACAAGAAATGAAATTATTCTCAGTTTTATTTCTGCAAAATAAAATGGATATTTACCAGATATCACTTTATATTTGTGCGTGTATTCCTTTAAAAAAAAAAAGGTTCTTGTTTAGATTCTGTCAAGGTGAGATTAAAGTTTACTATAGGAAAATTTCCCCAGTGAAATGCTTTTTTGACAGGAGAGTTTAGATTTCAATAAGAGGAGCTGGGCTCAAGCAACAGTGACAGTTTCTTCTTCGTCTCCAATATTTCTGAATAAGTCTGGTACAATATACTCAGTATCTAATGAAGAGTGCATTTTCTGTTTGCTAGTTTCTTTCTAGACTCAATCAGTTAAATTTAAGCGAAGGACGGACCTGATATTGTCTGCATATCTTTTGTTCAATTCTGTTTTGTACTGTAGAATCTTGTAACGGTGTTAGCCCTTTACCTCAAGATACTACTGCTTCCTGCGATGAACTTGTAAGTATGCAATTTATCTTTTTGTATTTTATTGAAAAATTATATTTTTGTGTCTCAGAAGAAAAAACTGCTGATGATAAAAATCTGTCTAATGGTGCTTCTGATGTTATTGGGTTTAGATTATGTTGATTGATGATTTTATAATTTGCATGTTTTATGTTGGTTTTTAGTCTGCTTTGAGAAAAGCAGGATAGAGACATCTAAAATTAAATAAGTAAGGGTGCGCAGTCATGTATTATTGGCTGGGCTTTTTTCTGGGGGAATGCACAGAAACACAGTTCTGGAACCTCTTTGACAAAATTCTTTTTAAAATGTTTAAAAGTTTGTGAGTTTTCTGTATACAGATTGAAAACTTCATTTCAGAGTTCCGGCACCTCTTTTTAAAAAAAGGGTGGGGGGAGTCCTGATTACTGGAATCATACAAATGCTCCCTTGATTAAAAAATAAATATGAGTATAATCTTGAAATGAAATTGATTAGATTCAGGGCAAAGAAAATGCATAATTCACACAATGCACAAGAAATTAACAGAATCTGCTGTGAGAAGATGTGGTGCTGGCCACTGGCTTAGGTAGCTTTAAAAGGGGATTTGACGCATTTGTGGAAGACATAGCTACCTACAGCTACTATTAGCCATGATAGTTAAATAGAACCTCTAGAGGCAGACAAAACAAAAGAGGAACGCCATAGCTTTCATGGCTTGCTTGTAGCTTCCTGGCTACCCAGAAAGTTTTTGTTAGGGGGGCCGATAGGGGGCAGTTTAGTACGGTGGAGCTGATTGCATCACAAGGTTGTTGGCTTCAGGGAAATATAGAGGAGGAGAGACATGGCTCGGTAAGAGTCGACAGGTAAAAATGGGGGGAGCAGCACCTGGGGCAGTTAGGAAATAATGAAGAAAGGTCAGGATTTGTGTCTGGGAGTTGTATTCTCTCTGAAAGCACTGTGCATTGCTCCAAAATTAAAGCCTACCACCAGAAGATCCAAAATGTCTGGCAAGCATTGCTGAAGGAGCTGGGAGAGCCCCTCCAAGTTTTACAGACACAACCTGGTTCCGTTGGCTAGCTAGCAGCAGCAGGATAATAACCCCCTGAACAGCCCCTTAACCCCTGGTGCCCACAGGCTATTATCCTTGTGTCCCTTTCCTATACCCCCCCACACCTTTGTAGGCAATCCAAGAGGAGAATAAAGACGGGAACTTCGTCTCACCTCCCAAAGAAGCTCAGGCATTATAATTGCACCAGCAGCAAGCCGAGTGCAGGCTGAGACATGCTTCCCCTCCCCCGGCAAGCCAGGCAGGCATTTCACAGAGAGGGGGAAGGGGGGAGGCATGGCTGTTTGGGGAGGGTGCCGGGAACACATAGGTACCCCCATGTGTATGGGCCTGCTTCCTGGAAGCGTGTGACTAGCCGCTATTGAAAACAGGATGCTGAACTAGATAGCCCCTGGCTTGCAACTAGCAGGACTCTTAAATTCTTGTGAATGAATGCTACTCCTAAAACACAGGAAAAAATACTTGATGGTTATTGAATCTTTAGGATTAATACAGCGGAAAGCTATTAGTGATTCATATGCTTTCTATAATTTGTTAGCACTTCCAATTAACTGCTGCAAGGCATTATGGATTTAATCACAGGATATATATATTGCTTTCAGGTTGTTTGCCATATTTTATTTCTTACTGTTTAGACATATTCATGTAACAAATTTTAGCTGTAACAACAGCAATTTGAATTACCAGTTCTGCCTATCACTTGAGCATAATGGTTGCAGTAAAATTTCTTATTTATGAAACTTTGAATTTTTAAAACTTCCAATTCTTTTAACATTATAATATAATATTACTTTTAAATTATGAAATTTCATATACTCCAGGCAGAAGTGAGAGAAGCAGTTGTCAGCATTATGTCTAATAATTCAGATGAAGTAGTGTGTCAAAGCACAAATGATGGAGAATACAGACGCAGCTTACCGGCTTCACAAAATGCAGGGGAGGAACCCAGCTGTTCACAGAGAAATTATTCCAGTCCTCAAGTGGTAATAATTACTACTTCTTCCTTTCTAAAATGCAAAAATATTAATTATCAGCTTTAGAAATTAATAAGATAACTTTAAGAAAAATAACTATTCCAAATTGAACTTCTTTGCATAAATGATTTAGCTATCTTAAGAATGAGTACTACTGTGAGATAACAATGATTATGCATTTCAGGTTATCTTCCAGCTGAAGGGTGGTACTCATATACTCTGTGTAAACAATACTGACACAATGAAAACAGTTCATTTGGTCCCCCAGTATCAAGAACAGCATAAATACCTTCAGCCAGGTATCAGCATTTTGAAAAATATTAACAGTATGTCAGCTGTCATCTCAAGTATTTATCATATAACTGCATGCTTAAGTTTCTGTATGTAAGTTTTAGGTAAGGACAGATTAACCCGTAGAGTTAGGTAGACAAATTTATATGTTGCGAAGAATGATGAAATCTGTTTAGGCCACAGCATTTTGCGCAATAGAATTTCAAAGCGGGAAGGATTTGGGACCATCTAAATCATTCATGCAGCTCATGAACTGGGGCTCACAACTGGGATATGACGTTACCTTAAGCAGGTCAGACCAGAATGGGATGGTTATCTTTTTTAAAAGAAAGAGAAATCCCAAGAGAAGAAGAAAACTGACAGAGAAGAAATTGAATAAAGAACAGTCTTTCCTGTACTATATAGATAACTAGGAAAAAGGCCCGTTGTGGAAATAAATACAATGACCTCTAGAAAGAGGCTCTGGGTGGGTGCCCCGGCCTTGGACACTCAGTGTCAATTTGCTGTGGCGACCTCAGCAGGGTATAATGACACTGAGTCCACCATTTTCTCCAGAGGAACTGATCTCTGCTACCTCACCTGGAGATTGGCAATGATGGCTCCCCAGAAGGGAATGGTTGGTTTGGAGGGCAGAGTCTGTGGCTTTGTACCTGTCCGAGGTCCCATGCCTCCTGAAACCTCACCCTCTCCAGGCTCCACCCCTCACATCTCCAGGAATTTTCCACCAGGAGTTGGCAACCCTATCTCCTTCCCAGCCAATCATCAACCTACCTTTATTTCCCCCTCACTCTTCATCTTTCCATCCTCCACACACCTGCAGCCTCTCCCGTGCTCTGAAGCCCTGACTGCTACGTCACATTGGCTGTCATAACGGGGCCACCTCAGCAGCATATAAGGTAACAGAGCCCACCATTTTCTCCAGGGGAACTGATCTCTGCCATCTGGAAAGCAGTTGTAATTCTGAGTGATCTCCAGCTCTCACCTGGAGATTGGACACATTTTACCTCAGAACAGCAAACTGTTTAGAATGTTAGAGGCAAAAGCCAATCAAGTCGCATATGCAAACGACCTCTGTGTTCCGAGAAAAAGGCCAATGAGGCTGCATATGCAAATGTCCTCTGTGTTCTGACTGGCTATAGGGGGGAGGGGAACAGCAAACTGTTGGAGGTGAGACTCAAGCAATGCAGCCAGTGGATAGGGACAGATTTTGAGTGACACACCAGGGCGCCAACCAATTCCGGAGAGTGTGGAATGTTCTAGAGAAGTGCCACCACCATTCGGCTTTTATATATAAGGGAGATCCCTGCATCCTTAAATTTGTATGGTTAAAAATATTTTATCACTGGTTTTATATTATCATAAAATGCCTTGAGCACCTTTGATCAAAAAGATGGTTTGGGTTTATAATAAGCAAACAGAGATTATATGTACAGCATTAAATGATACACAGATGAAGAAATATGCTGGGAGGGGGGGGGAAGTATAGCTCTGTTGCTCTTTCTAAAAAATAATTTTGAAAGTGCATAACAGTATGGGGCAGCACAGAAGGGGATGGATAGTCTCCCCCCCCCCAAGTCATAGCCAACATGGTGATACCATGGGGGTTTCAAAGCAAGGGACATTCAGAGGTGGTTTGCCATTGCCTACCTCTGTGTAACAGGCCTAGACTTCCTTGGTGTTCTTCCATTCAAATATTAACCAGGGCTCGCTCTGTCTGGCTTCCAAGATTGGATGAGTCTACACCAGCATGGGCTGTCCAGGTCAGCGTGGACAGTCAATAAGGACTTATTTTCCTTTCGCTTGAAATGTAAATACAAAACGGTGTGAGCGTGTAAGGAGATGTATCATCACTGATAAAATTGAGCCTGTCTGTATTGAGCCTGAAGTGTCCTTGCAAAAGGACTGAGCTTAGGGGTGCATAACAATAGATCGCTAGGATCCTAGAATGGACCAGTAGGGAGACAGGGATCCTAGAGTAAACCAATTGGGAAACAATAGAGTGTTAATAGCCTATCGTTGGGAGTGGTGTGTGTTTTGGGTGTAACCCTTTTTCAGGCATAAATACCTGGCTTCGGCCAGGGATAGCCGGTCTTCTTTCTCTTGCTGAATCACTAATAAACTATGAGTTGATCACTTCTGCGCGTCTGAACCCAGTATATTTTAATCCTCTTCCTTTCCCTTTCTACCAAGAGATACACAGAAGGTGATATATATTCTTCTATACCAATTCTTCATCTAGACCTAGCTCAATGGTTTGGTAACAAATGAGCCTTTGTGACACTAAGAGATGTTTGTGCAGAAGAGCCCTTTGGAAGGTTGCAGTTACTCAGAGTATCCACCTGATGTCACTGATTTCAAACTATAAAAGCATCAGATGAGGCTGTGTGTGTGTGTGTGTATAATTCAACTTAATTTAAAAAAAACACCAGTCTAGTATACTGATAGCAGTTCAGTAAGATTTTGTTTCTCAATGGGAATGTCATGAATTATTCACCTGGATAGAAATTTTGCACTGCCCTGTCCTGTTGTAGCCCCATCTTCATTATCAGACCCCTTTTCTTTTTGGTTTTAGTTTTTAAAACAATAGTGGTCCTTGTACCCATGCACCCAGGTGTCATCTAACGTCTTTTAAAAATAAAGTAAACCTAGGTCTTTTGCACTTATGGAACAAGTTCTTCCCTTTCACGGAGGGGGAAACAGTTTGCAGAATAATGCATCTGATAGTTGCACAAACTTAGGGGGGGCGGGGAGGAAACCCTTCCAACTGCCATTTATCAAGTTCATGTGGAAGGGGAAATGTGTAAACATAAGTATCGAGAGATCTAAGAAAAATTGGTTTGGCCAAAGCTTTAGAAGGTTGATCC